ACATCCAAAATATTGTTTTGACTTTGATACATTCTGCATTCTGTGCTCGTGTCAATTTAAGGCTTAATGAAAGATGTTCCCGGGAGCCGTTAATTTGCACCAATTGCCGGTGATTACCAAAAAGTGGGCTCAGTATGCGACGAGCTGTTCAGGTTATAGCTTTATGTCAATGTTAATACCAGAGGTGTACTGGAATAAAATCAGGAGTTTAATTACATCTCTTAACAGGCTCATCAACATGCAGCGCGGAAAGTCAGGACTGGCAACCCCATGCTTTTATGTCTGCAGCAGCGTGAGGGCCTCTCCAACACAAATATATACTAGAGCTAATGGGATAATGTCCTCACTAATGAATAAATGGCTTGTAATGAATTGTTGCCGTCCACTAAACAGGAAAGTCATTTTATTGGGGGACTACATCTAAGTAAACAAAATGATTAGCTGATATTTGTCGTATTTAAGGCTGCTGTGGATGTATAGACTGTGGTAGTTGAACTGATGGTTGAAATACATATTCAACATACATAAAGTTGTATATTTTATCAATAACAGGTTGCCAGAGAATTGTGTATCTCTTCTAGTGAGGTGATCCGAGTCTTACATTTCTTCACATTCTGATAAAAACTATTCATACTAATAAATAAATAATCCATCTTTATTTGTATAGCACTTTTCAAAGACAATGTTTATGAAGTGCCGCACGGTCAGTATAAAACAATAAAAATATCAAAAAATAAAATTTCAAAACTTCAATCACTGTGTAGTTTATAAATGGTCTCTTTATCTGTTGTTTTAAGTAATAAGAGGTTTTTTACAATGTAATGTTATGAATATTTCATTTGAGTCTATTTTCCCATATCTAACAGCTATTCCCCTCTGTGGCATGGAATATCATTTATATTAGTCCGTTGATGTAATATACAGTATAATATTTCTAAAAACTGGGAAAATGTTTTATTATGTTCTGTTTGGGCCTTTCACAGTAATTATTGTGGCCATACCTTCATGTGAAAGCCAGATCCCGTCAGACCTCTGAAGCTGTGCAGGGCAGGGCCTGGTTAGTAGAATGAGGCTGGTGTGTGTCTGAAAGGTTGGTGGTGGTCTGAGGGGCCGATGGCATATACTGGTTGCTACGCTTCTGTCAGTCTGCCTCAGGGCAGCTGTGGCTACAGTAGTAGTTTATCGCCACTGTAAATGAATAATGATATGTGAAGCGTCGTAGAGTGTCCTGAAAAGCACTTTTTAAAAATCCAATGCATTTTTAATATGCTTAATGTTACGGTGCAGTTTCAGGACTAAAAGTTGGCCCTGTCACAACATAAATGAAACTTTAAACATGCAGTTTCTTTGTGGATGTGTTTGAGAGGTTATGGCCCTCGGTGTAACCCCACTATGATGTTTAACTGCCTTTGAAGTCTCACAAAGAATACTGCTGTGGCTTTGAGCGAGTGCGAGTCCAAAACTGTGGCCTTATGTTCTTCAGGCAGAAACACAGTGAAATGTTCCGGGCACAGAACATTATATTGTTTTAGATACAAATGCTCTGTTTGGACAGTGTATAATCTGGTGACTGGACGAGGCCTGAGGCGGCGTGAAATTCCAAATGATTTATTGGACACAGATCGTGTTAACTGCATTCAGAGACAAAGCAGAGTCCGTGGCTGGATTTGTTTAGTCTGAGACATTTGAATAAACTACACTATCTAAGACCTAAGACATCAGCAAATCTTTCCCATGTGCGAACAAGAGGTGATAGGAGCGAAATCATCTGGTGTGTATAGTGACGCTGAAATTAGTTGAAAATTCTTTCTTTTTTGCTTTGAATCTCTCAAATCTCTGTATTTTTTTCAATGCAAAATACTTTTTACTTATGCTGTATAGAGGCGTGTCAAATGTTGTTGTTGAGAATATCCCATTTCATTTGAGAATAACATTTCAAAGGGGAAATTGCGCAGTAGAGGCCCAGTGGTGCTACTTCAGGAGCAGAGCAACATGAGCGTTCTGACCCAACTGCTAATCAGAGTTGGGCGAGGGTTGGACGTGAGTTGGACGAGAGTTGGACGAGAGTTGGACGAGAGTTGGACGAGAGTTGGACGAGAGTTGGACGAGAGTTGGACGAGAGTTGGACGAGAGTTGGACAAGAGTTGGACGAGAGTTGGACGAGAGTTGGACGAGAGTTGGGTGAGATTGGGATGATAACGTGCAGAGCTTGTTGCACAAAAGTGTGGATTTATAGAAAAGCAATGGATTAAAAGAAAATATGATCATGAGTTTAGAATGAAAAGGAACACTAAAATCCCCGCAAAATCGTACCTTTGTGAACGCTGTAGGTTCTGGGAGAGCTGAGGACAAACCGTTTTTGTTTACATTGAGGTCTATGGGAATACGTATTTCCTGTGCAGCCCTTGAATGGTACGTGAATTAAAGTAGCAGTACTATGGGTGGCCTGCCTCCGGGACTTAAGCTATAGGCAAAGCAAGGCAAGTTATTTGTATAGCACAATTCATAATAATAATTCAAGGAAACACTATATCTAGATAATATAATACAACAGTGCTTACCTTAAAATATGTATTTTTTATTGAAACATGGACCAAAGCCTACACTTTCCAACCTCTTCAGGGCTTCATGAATGAAAATGAATGAAAGTCAAAATATAATATAGTTTAGATTTAACTGATTTCCTCTCACTTTGAACCAAGCCTTGAAACAATTCCTTTCATAACGGCAAAAGTTTCTCGCATTTCTAACGAAGGCCTAGAGCTGCAGAGCTTATTGAAAGACAGAGCGACAGAAAAAGTCAGAAATGAAAGAGCAAATTCTTTATTCTTTGGAGGCAGAGTGAGGAAGAATCCATGCGGCGCAGGTTAAATAGGTTTTAACCCCTGGCCGCTCTCTCCTGGCTGAAGACAAAAGGCCGCTCCACAGCTCGCCCACTGCCACAGAATCAGCGACCTGTTTGGCTCCACTGCCCTCCAGCTTTCTTATTCACTCTAACATTCAAACCCATTGATTTAAGAATCTAACCTTTAGTGACAATTTGACGTGATGGAAATTCATAGCATTTCGGTTTGCTCTTTCATTGAACCGGTACATGAATTGAGAGAAATTGTGTTTACCCTTTACTTGTGTGTACGGTTGACTTTTGGTGAAGTTCATGGCCCACATGGAAGCGTTCAAATGTCTTTACAACTATGAAATTTCACTAGAGGATGCCCAATGTCATTTAAACATACCTGTGTATTCACCTGGCAGTCTCGGTGTCCATCACATCATTAATTATTGATTTGATATTGTGTTTACATGCATAATATATACTGTTCAAACAATTAGAATACAGAAAAAAAGAATTGAATAAATAATACAATATTAAAGTATTGTAAACATACAAAAAAGAAAAAATTTGAAAAGGGATTGAATGAAGCAAAAAACTGCAATTAATCCAATCTCTTCCCAGCCATTCAGACACTACAATACAAAACAAACACAAGAAGTAATACCCTACAGTACCAACCAAGTACCACATAGCCGGACATTATTCATTCTAATGTCAAGTCCATTTTTTGATGTGCCGCTCAAGTGAATTGCCCCTGGTGGGATAAATGAAGAAGTCTGAATCTGAATAAATGGACTTTTGAACAGTCTGTGGCAGTAGAATTTGCCCTTTTAAATAGTTTTATAATCCATAGGAAGATTAATCTCACTACAGATAGTATAATGTGAAGTGCCGGTCTCACATCAGGCTGTTTGCACCTGGTTTATCAACAGATTTGGCCATTCTAACGTGTGTAACAAGTGGCTTAAGTGCTTTTTCGCGTGGTCCATGAGCGTAGGATAGTTTTAGAATGTCGGGTGTTGAGTTGAGAACAGATTAGCAGCAGTCAGCGATACATCTCATTCCAGAGACACTAAAGACATTCTATGGGTCTCAAAGGCTGCATCGAAAGCCTGTTTGTGTAGTTTACTCTCTGTGTTCTTTTTGTACCTGTGCCTTTATTTTGGGCCATTGTCTTGGAATAAATAAAGAGCTGCAAAACGCAAATTGACATAAGATTTTGTTTTCCTCGTAAACAATCGCAATGTGCACAAGTGAGATCGACCGAGGCGAATAGGATTGCGGAATAAACAAAGACTCAATGTTCTCTGTTGACTTTGCTGAGTTGTGTATTTGCGGGAGACAAGTGGCTCAATAAAAGGGGAAATTATTCAAACTGTTTTCAGTAAATGCAGGTTTTATAACGATAGAGAGAAAATGCTATAGCTGAAAGCACCTACGTTACAATTACTGAGTGATCATGAGTTGTAAGAAAAAACACTGTGATAAATGGTTATTTCAATGATACGTTATTTAATTCTACTTGGTTCAACTTTAACACAGGCTGTTATGTTTCGGTTTTCAAAGAAGGAGGCATCAGCTCGTCTACAATCCAGTGTAGCAGGGTATCATTGGCCTTTTTAAATAAAGTTATGTCCATTGTCTTTGAGAGCAGCACTTGATGCTTACTTAGAGTCACCTCCTGTTTGCTGTGTCCCTGCCTTTAGCACTCCTTTGACACATATTGCCAAATTTAGGTCTCTCCCTTTTTCCCTCTCGGCTTGATGAGAGTAGAGTGAGCTTTATGAAAAATCGACCATTTACAGCCCTGAGAAAAAGGAGCAGGCTATTTCAGGATGCTCTATCTCAACTGATCTTTTTCATTTCAAAACAAGGTTTTATCTGGGGTTTAGAATGTGAATCATAATCATGTTTTCAAAACACGTGTTTCTCTACAATTGGATTTGGGAAAAATATTGAATGTTGACACTTGATGCTTGCATTTTTGAATTGATTATCCTGTAACTGGATTAAGCATATATTTCTATTGATTTCTATCACAAGAGTTGAATTCTTTAATCTTGTTAAACTGTAACACATTAAATGATTTGAATCCAGTATCATGTTGGTGTATTTTCACAGCTTTAGTGTCTTTGCTCACATTCTCTGTGCTGCTGTGTTGCAGGCGTGATCCGGGAGAGCTATCAGAAGAGTCGGGACCAGCTGGTGCCTGTCACACTCTTGGCCATTGCAGTCATCCTGGCCTTCGCCATGGGGGCCATCTTCTCCGGGCTCATCGTGTACTGTGTGTGCGACCATCGGCGGAGGGACGTGGACAGCGCAGGGCGGAAGGAGAAAGAGGGCCACCACGCTCACTCCCGCCGTGGCTCCATGAACAGTGTGACTAAGCTCAGTGGGCTGTTCGAGACCCAGGCCAAGGACGGACGACCGGAGGCCATCCTCACACCGCTCATGCACAATGGCAGGCTGGCGGCCAGCGCCAAGATGCTGATCAAGGCGGACCAGCATCACCTGGACCTGACGGCCCTGCCCACGCCTGAGTCCACGCCCATGCAGCCACGACGCAAGCTCAGCCGGGGCAGTCGCGAGTGGGAGCGCAACCAGAACCTGATCAATGCCTGCACCAAGGACATGGCATCCATGGGCTCCCCTGTGATCTCTGACCTGCCCCTCAGGGCATCCCCGGGCCACATCCCCAGTGTGGTGGTGCTCCCTCTGCCCCAGCACCAGCACCAGCTGCAGTCCCACCTGCAGGCCTACCAGCACGAGTACGTGGAGCAGCCGCACCACAGCGAGCTGGGGATGGGTCACATGGACGAGGCAGCCACCCTGGAGTATAAGACGGTAAAGAACCACGGCCACAACATGGTGGACGCTGATGGGATGCTGCCTCCCCGTGTGCCGCAACGAGAGGCCTCCCTCAGCATCCCTCCTGCCGTCCCACAGATGGGCAAACGCCTGGAGGTACACTCTTCAGTGTACGGCCTGAGGAAAGGCTCCGCGTCCTCTGCCTCGGCCTCGTCTGCACTCAAGAAACACAACACCAACTCGTCCAACTCATCCCATCTGGCGAGACATCACAGTTTTAACCGTGTGGAGACTCCGCCTCCTGCTCCCCAGAGGGTGGACTCAATACAAATGACAGCACAGGGCATGTCTCTGATGTCACGGCAGCCGGGTATGAGCGCCTATGGTTCCCTGCCCAGAACAGGCCTCAAATACCTTAAACCTGACGTCCCTCCCAAACCCTCAGTGGTGTCTCTGTCCACAAAAGTCAAGTCCAGTGACTGCACATAGTGCGCCTGAGCGCTGATGGACCCAGGACAAACTTCTGTCTCACTCACAAGGAACACTGTACCAGTTGCATCTCCTTTTAGTGTTTTGCTGTTTGTTTAGGTGTACAGTACAGTGGAAACATTTTTAAGACCACTTTCTTTTTTATATAATTATGTAAATACGATGCAAATGGTTGTTGTCATTTCTTGCATCACAGAGCCGCTCTGGTCGGGAACAATTGCTACTGAAAGTTGGTCCTGAATATTTGAACTAATGGCGTCCTGTAGCATTCAGAGAGAGTCTCCTCTGCTCCGGCCTCTGGGACACACAGTGCACAGGAGGTTGTACAGTGATTGAAGCAGAGACATACAGGCAGTGGCCTGTCCAAACTGTGAAGATGATCTCAGTGTTACAGCAATCACAGTACCAGAGGAACCTTCTACTGTACAAGGACTGAGAACTCAAGACTGTTAATACTAATAGCATCTTGTATTTATTTTTAATAAGTGCTTTTGAAAAACTGACTGACTTTGTAGGTTCAGTAAGCAGGGAAAGAAAACAAATCTTTTAATAACAAATAATCAAGTGTGAGATAAAGATTATTTAAAGTCATTAAACTGGAGCCAGTAGAAGCTGAGGTCCTGGTGGTCTTACTGTGATCGACAGAGGAACACATATTTATTTAACTGTGCCACACAGGGACCACAGAAACATCATCTCTGATCAATCAGAAAAGACTTCCTCAATCCCTTTCATGTCTCCAATCAGCACTGTGGTTTTGTGTGGTGCAAACATTCGTCCTGATTGGTCGCTGACTTATACCAGGGCCATCAAGAACCACTGTTGCATGTTGAAAACAAATAAGAAGCGCAGCAGCATCAGTATTGAATCAGCAGACACACAAACGCTCTCCATGAAGACGCTGGGAAAGGTGAGGCTGCAGGTTTCCTGTGGCCACACTGCAGGTGAAGACAAACTCTACAAAGGTGTATTGCCTGCTTCTTTTCCACATGTAAATTTGTGCCTTACACCCTTAAATAGTGTTTTCTTTCATAGCTGTTAACTTAATCTTCTTGTCGTATTTTCTTATTTTCTTACACCATGATGTTTCCCTGGTTTGATAAAATGCAATTAAAGAATGTAGGTGTTCTTGTTGTACTTCTGGTCCCCTAGACATAATACACATTCACATGGACACTAACTCTCACATCTTTGTGGTTTCGTTCTGATTGTGCCATTAATGCGCTAAAAGCGATCCTTTATGTTGTGCTGGCAGTGTCTAAGAAATGTGTTCATTTTCTCTTTTCTACAAATTGAATTGAAGTCTTGTTATGTTGTCTCTTTGTTTGGAGTGGTGGTCTCTTGATGGACTATCTGAACTATGAACATTTGTAAGTGCAGCAGAGTTGTGCACTGCAATAATTCCCCGTGAAGCAAACGTCCAGAAGGAGAAGGAGACGAAAGCAGGCTGGTTCCTGTGAAAACTAAAGCATGAGTAGTTTTCCCCTTTTTGGAATGAACTTTTTTGAGAGAAAAAAAACAAACACTTTGATTGATTCTTCAAATCATAAAGTTTCTAAGGATTCAACTAAAATGGGACCATTATTGGTCTTTATACTTTTGTATCGATCACTCCCCTGAACTAAATCAACAGAGCACTCTCCTAGTGTTTTATGTGTAGATAGGTCAATGTTTTGATACAAAGCAATTTTGAGTTTCTCAATGGAGAAAAGCCAGCTCAATCTCAATCCACAGAGAATGGTGATGACTGTGTTTAGATGTCTACAAGGTCCAGGGCCAGTTTCACATCAAAGTCTGACAAGACTTTTGGTTTACAATCCCTTACTCTTCATATAGAAAATATTTTTACATTTCCCCAACCCGTTCAAATTTGACAATTTGGCCATTGAATTGTGTTACTGTTCCTCCTTATTGTTCTAAACTGACAGTTTTATGGATTATGGATTACTACAACCACCAAATGCTCACTTGTAAATGTAATATCCATGGGCAGCAACCCCTGGTTAAGGACAAAAAACGGGAATTAAGTCATTGCCCTTGCCATTTAATACAAGTATTTGTTTGTATATTGACAAACATGTTTCTTGGACATAGCCAAAGCCGTGGACGTCAGTGATGAGTCATTTTCCAGAACTGCGCCCCTTTAAACACGTGACCAATACTTAAAGACAGAATGCGACGGTCGATCTGTGCCTCCAGCGCTGACAGAATGTGAGCACAGGTACAAGTACACTTATATGGATAAGTACATGGACAGGTACAAGTACATGTACAAGTACACGTGTGGGTTTGTGCTCGTGGCCACTTCTGTCACTGGGCACCTGAGTCCAGACGAGACTGGTTCTTGACTGTGAAGGCAGCTGTGGACAGTGAGGTTCTTTGGTGTGTGCCTTTTTGTCTTTCCACCTTGATTCTAAGCGCTCTGCTAAATCCACTCTTTTGAACTATGTAAGCTTGTAAAATATATTGTGACGTCACACCAGTTTTTTGCTCTCCACTTCTCCCTTAACATCACAGCTAAATGTATGTTGTAAAGAAGAAAACTCTTTAATTTAATGCAAAAATGTAATTAAAAAATGGAAATAAAACTCTTGTCATGAAGATTGTGATCCATCTTTTTCTCACTGAACTGATTTTTAGAATAAATACTCTGCATACATACAGTACATAATATATATTGTAGCTACTCCCACACTGAGGTTGAAGGACAGTTGTTCTCACAAGGTTCTCATCCAACAACCTTAAAGCAATGACTTGACAAAGCAAGAGTCATAAAAACATGAAAATAGCAACTCCTTCTAAAAATGACTGTTGTATTAGAAAATTATTTACCCTAAATCAAATTACAATTATGCATAATGCCCCACAGAATGGATGTTGGTTTCATACCTTTTTGACCTAATGTTTTCCTCTCGCCTTATAAAACCACCCAAGAGCTCAGGCAAGCCTCTCTCTGAATAACGCTGTATGCTTATGTGAATGAAAGCACTTGATTTTGAAGTTAAAAGGATTCTCTTCAAATTTGAGTGGGCTGAGAGCAAGTGGATGGGCATGCAGCTCTTTGTATTGATCTCAAAGTTGAGCACAAAAGAATGCAATTACCTGCGCCTACCTACAGCACAATCCAAGCCACTGTTTTAGCATAAATGTTTGTATGGTTATTTTAGGTAATTTAGAGTAACATACTGTAGATGCTTATGAAAAAGATACATGCAAACTACAGAGAGTTAAAGAGCTTTCACACTCAACTTAGCCTGGCCTTGGCCATCCGTAAACTCAATTATCATTTCCTTCATGTGCGTCTGAATCAGATCTCAGTGGCTGCGGTTAAATCTCCTCCGACCATTCAGTGAGCGAGGGAGCCGAGTCACGTCGGTGACGTCAAGAGTTTGCACCAAATTTGCTGGATGGAGTTTGGCCCCCAAATACCAAGAAATTGAAGCCGGAGCATTTCTGGCAAAGATGTTGTGGCTCTACTCCCCACGAGGTTCAGCAAAAGCCTTATATTCCAGTTAGCTATGTTAGCGGCAAATGAGATGGCTAGGCTAAATGCTACCAACTCACTTGGGCGAATTTACAGACGACACTGTTGATTGGGTAAACTCAGATCCAATCAGTGTGATGACAAGTCACTGTGCGATGACTAGGTAAGACTAGGCTTCATTCAACTGAGCTCGGTTCACTTCAGACTCAGATCTTTAAAACAAGTGACTTATGTACCCTTTTGGTGCTATCACACGTCCACAAATTACGGATGATACCAGAGTTCACATCTTTGAACCAAGTGTGAACGTACCCTTAGAATCCAAAGAACATAAGAACAGCTCTTTGAAACCCACTGTTAGGAGCATTGATGGAAACAACAAAGAGCTGTAACACATTTCAAGAGCAGACTGTCTAGACGTAAACTGGAAAGTGCACTCTTTGCATGCAATTTTTATTATGAAGCTATTATAAAATTGTACCATGAATATGGTGTATGCATTTATGTCTAAGTGATGCAACTCAGACAGACAAGTCCAAGATGGAGACGTCCAACTGATGTCTGCTCAAGTCTGAGCATGGGCTAAAATGGGTGACTCTTGCACCTTTCACTTCTTAGCTATGGTTTATTATTGTGCAAACTATAGGTTTGAATAAATGTTATAATAATGCAAAAATGGTATTTGATATCAGGATTGTTTTCATAATTCAAACAGTCTGATTGAAGTCAAAACCTGACAAATTCATGTGGGTGAGTGAAACCCATATATATAAATTTTAATGTAAAACGTAATTTAACAACATTTATGGACCAACGGCTCTATGTGTTTTTTTGTTTTTGTTTTTTTTTTCTTGTGCTTGAGCATGGTGACTGAGTGGATAGCACTCTCGCCTCTCAGCAAGAAGGTCCTGAGTTCGAATCCCAGACGGAACAGGGCCTTTTTGAGTGGAGTTTGCATGATCGCCCCGTGTCTGCGTAGGTTTCCTCCGGGTGCTCCGGTTTCCCCTACCACTAAAAACATGCACAATAGGTCTGAATGTAAATGAGAGTGAATGGATGGTGTTGATTGGGGCCGATGCGCCAGTGTGTTCGGCGACTCGCTTCTGTCGTCTGTATAAATATGAAATAATTTAGGTATTATATTTATGGTATGTTTCCAATTTCTCATTTCACAAAGTAAATAAACTGTCGAAATGCCTGCATTCAAAGAGCACCTGTCAAATATCACCCCTGGTCCAGTGGTTTTGTATACATTTATTCCTCGTTCAGCCTGGTTCTGCAGTGACACAAATGACACTGTTTTATTCTGACTAACAGTCGCACTCTGTCCCATGTGTCCCCTAGACGAGGAGAGCTCATCAGGGCAGACCGATCGATGCTCCAGCTCCCACTTTCAGACGTTCCATGTACTGCAATTGTCTGAGCCAGCCACTAATTACAATCTACAGTTCTCCAGTCCATTGACCATGTTGGGTGTAGACAAACCGAGGGAATTTTCAGTTGCAGTTTTCAGGTG